AGTGTTCGACAGAATATTCTGTTTGGCTCTCAATATAATGAAGAGAAATACAATCGAGTGGTGAAAGCGTGCGCTTTGGACACAGATTTCAAACTCTTTCCATACGGCGACCAAACTCTAGTCGGCGAGAGAGGTGTGTTGTTGAGCGGCGGACAGAAGGCCCGCATAACTCTGGCCCGGGCTCTGTACCACTCGGCAGACATCTACCTCTTGGACGACCCCTTAAGTGCTGTCGACACACATGTGGCCAAACATCTCTTCCAGAAGTATATCATATAGTAATAAATGAAATATTATTTAATGTCTTTACCATTGGATCAGATGTTGTGTTGAGTACTTGAAAGACAAGGCGACTATTTTAGTGACGCATAACATCCAGTTTCTCAAAGACGCGCATCAAATACTTGTGCTCAACGACGGCGAGTGTGTGGCCATCGGGTCCTACACTCAGCTCAAAGAGCGCGGCATTGATCTCATGTCATATCAGAGACAAACCGATGGACCAAATGATAAGAGAGCTATAAAAAAGAGGACATCTCTCACACCATCGATGGTCTCATCCCTTAGTGAGGGATCGGAAGTGACGGACGTTTGCGAACTGACAAAAGCGGACGAACAGGAAGTGAAGGCCGAACACAAAATGATTGGATCCGTTGAGACCAATGTTTATATGGAGTACATTAAGGCCGGCGCTGGAACTCTGCTCGTTATTCTGACCATTTTGTTTTTAATTGGTTCCCAAGTTTTCAATCAGGGAAGTATTTATTGGTTGAGCTTATGGTCAGTACTATTATTATCAAACAACTCACACACAGCGATGCTATACATTAACCACTATTCGGGCGATGCATAAAGTACATATTAGCTTTATTTAAAGAGTTAATAAGTGTCTATTGGATTAGCATTACTACCCATGAAAACCATAGAATATGCATTGCCGTATATTTTTAGCATTACCCATAAACCTAACATTAATACATATAATTAGCATGAAACAAAAATTTAATATTACCCATAGACTTAGAATTAACCTTACTCGTTAGACTTAACCTTATCCATTGACTTAGCATCCTAGTTAATCCTATGTCATAAACTTAACATTATCCATGTTAACCTTATGTCATGGACTTAATCTGTAGCACAATAGATACAGTTTAAAGCATCCTATGGAATAAACCTTATGTTAAAGTATAGCCATAGATAGTGTTGCCAACTCTGATCGACTATCGCCTTGAAAAATTTTCCAAATTTACCTTGACCAAATCTTGACCACCATTATTATTGCATATTTGATTATAAATATTTTTGAAATATGAGCAAAATGTTAATTTAAACTTTAATTAAATTTAGTTTTAATATAATACAGTGTATTTTTCATATAAGATACGGCTTTTTAAGACAAAAGTCTTTCTTATGAAGGGATTTTAATAAAGAATTTGTTTTGCTATTATACAAATAGGCAATAAATAGTATTCTGGGTTTTAAATAGTGTGCTCATTACTATAAATACCTAAAATAGACATACGGTAATTACATTTGCTCTCACCTTGACCTGTCTATGTCAAGGTGAGACCCTCGCCTGTCATCTTAACCAGAACCCTCTCACCTTGCTAATCAAGGCAAACCTTGACCAGTTGGCAACACTAGCCATAGATCTAGCTGTAATTCAATGTTAAATTCCATCATGCGCGAGGAGGAACTGGGGGAGAGCCGAAATATCTTATTAACAACAATATTCATAGCTTAATTATGGTTAAAAATATGTTTTAATGTAATTAAACTTAAAATGTTAGGACTAATCACATGAGAACAAACAATGTTGAAGTGGATCAGACATACAATATAATAATCTACACGAGTCTAATGTGTGGTCTGTTTGTGTCGGCCCTGTTGTCCACCATTTGTTTCTACATAATGTGTATGAGATCTTCGGTTAATCTCTATAACCGAATATTCTATGCATTATTGCGATCACCGATACATCTGTTCGAGAGTTCGCCCATCGGTAACAATATTAACACTAATCACTATTAATCGAATTAAATATACGATATATTATATATTAAAGCATAACTTTATCTCAATCTTTAGGGCGAATACTTAATAGGTTTTCAAAAGACACGGGAATTATTGATGAATTGCTGCCATCCGTTGCTTTTGAATTCATTATTGTAATTATTAGAAATAATTATAAATAATAATGTATTACAAATCGTTTATATATAGACTACAGGATATGTCTGCGGGTGTCTTATATTGAATGCAATTGTCAGTTGGTATCTGGCATTTCCGGCGATAATTTTGTTGATATTAGTGTTCATTTGTCGCTATTTTTATATCAGAGCCGCGAGAGATATAAAGCGTATGGAAGGGTTATGTATGTTTTACATAAATTAATTTTATAAATTATTATGTATAATTATTTCTCACATCAGCCCGGAGTCCGGTGTACTCTCACGTGAACACAACGCTGTGTGGGCTGACATCGATCCGTGCGTTTGGCGCACAGCATATGTTTGAGCGTCAGTTTGAAGTCCACCAAAACGACAACACCTCTACATATTTCCTATTTGAGTGCAGTTCGGGATCACTCGGAGTCTTAATGGACAGCTTTAGTATAGTATATTTTAGTGCTGTTATCGCTTATATTATGATCAGTAGTGACCGTATGTTTGCAATAAATTAATTTAAAGTCACATTAAATTTTATTTATTTTTTACCAGGTATTAACGGAGAAAATGCGGGGCTTTTGTTAACTTCAGGTATCTTGATAATTATAAAGTATTAATACTAAATTAAATGGTTAATAATGTTTATAAAGGATTATCGATGATAAGTATGATTCAACTCATTACTCATTTATCGTCCGCTACCGAATCCCATATGACTTCTGTCGAGCGAGTGCTCGAATACATAGCCATTAAACCCGAGGCAGAGCTCGAGTCCACTCCCGATCGGAAACCACCCAAAGATTGGCCACAAATGGGAGAAATAGTGTTCAAAGATATGAGTCTTCAATACAACGAATCGCC